CCTGCTGCCCACCAGGACTCCCAGATCCCTTTCCCCTACACTGCTCTCTAACAGATCATTTCCCAGCCTATACTGGAACCTGGGGTTGTTCCTGCCCAGATGTAACACCCTACACTTGCCCTTGTTATATTTCATTAAGTTTTTCTCTGCCCATTTATCCAGCCTGTCCAAATGCGTGTGTTCCTTCCACTGTTCTACCTGTTTCTATCAATGTTTTGTGGAATCAAACATATATAGGATTTTATTACTTTATCTATCTGTACTTTGGCTGCTGTTTTACTGCAGCAGCTCCTTAGGACACAGGTTTCAGTAATTTCTCATGTTTTCTCTGTACTCCACTGCAGTGGGCGTCCTTTGAGAGTGGTCAGCAGTGACTCGGAGGGGAAGCTCAATCTTTTCTCCATAGATGAATCTGCTCCTTCTGTGCATGTCCTGAACCAGTGGGAAGCTCACAAATTTGAGGCTTGGATTGCTGCTTTTAATTACTGGGACACCGATATTGTGTATTCAGGTCTGTAAGGGCTGGGAATCTCCTCTGGGGGTGTCGGGGAGGAGGCACCTCGTTTAGGGATGTGTGTTCCTTGGGGTTTTGCCCTCCAGGGTTGGGTATGCTGCTTGCATCACACCTCTGGTAAGAGCTGGGGGGCAAAAGGCTTCTTGATTGTAGGAAGTAGAGTTAATTAGGAGAAGCTCTGCCTTTTAAACTGTGCTTTGGCTGGCTGTTGGGGAAAAAAACTGTGTGCAAATGTGAGCAGAGAGCTTCTGGAGTCCAGTCTTTTTTTTTTTCTTCTAATTTTTATTTTGCTTAGCAAAGGAAGGGTCACTGCACATCTCCTCTGTGGGGAGGAGTACCGTGACCTCCAGCGACCTTTGGTGTGTCTGTTAAATGCTGTGAGATCCTGGGGCTGGAAAGCATCAGCCCTGTGTTAATTGTGTCACCTCAGAGCCCTGCACTGCTCATCTGGATGGTGTTCAGGGCAACAATGTTTTTGTCTTTGTGCAGGAGGAGATGACAACCTGCTGAAGGGCTGGGACACCAGGCGCAGGCCCGAGGCTCCTGTCTTCACCAGCAAGAGGTGAGCAAAGCCCTGTCTGCAGCTGGACCCTAAAGCTGTCGTGTCCCTTCCCAGGCTGCTGAATTCAGAGATGTGTGGTGACAGTGGAGTCCTGTTTCTGCTCCCTTGGGAAATGGAGACACGTCCATTAGATCTTTGTCATCGGGACACTCGGGTTGAAACTTTCTTCTTTGTTCTTTCAATATAATAATCCAGCAGCTCCTGTCACACGTGGAGATGGTGGTAACTTCTTTCTGAAAGAAGGATCCCAAATTACACTTTTATTTTGGGAATTTTTGTGTGTGTTAAATTTCATCATCTTATTCTGGAACATTTTTTAGAAAACATTGTGTTCTCCAGTGTTGCCCATTTGAAGCAATCTCTCTCTTTTTCTGGTGGTGTAACTTATCTTTTAGAAAATGATTAAACAATATACACAACTCTCCAGTGAAATTTTCTGTGCAACCTTAAAACACACTGGGAATTATCCCTATGGAAATAGTAACGCTGGGAGTAAAATCTCCTGGGGATGGAGTGGTGCTGAAATCCTTACGGGCTCTGAACAGCACTTTGTGGTACAACTGTGACTAGAAAATATTTGTGCTGAGACACTGCGTGAGTAGAAGTTTTGCCTTGGAGAGGCTGTTGGGCTGTGTGGGTGGAACTCGGTGTGTTTCACTGGGCTGGAATTTGAGTTCACTTTGCTCTCCTTTCCTGAGACACCTTGATGCAGTAACACCAACCCCAAATCCTTGACATTTGGGGAAGAATCCTTCTCAAATCATACCCTGCTGTCTCCTCCCTCTGTTGTTTTTTTGCAGGCACTCGATGGGTGTGTGCAGCATTCAGTGCAGTCCTCACCGGGAGAATCTTCTGGCTACTGGCAGGTAAGTCCCTTCTGGCTGCTCTTCAGCCTCCTCTGTTACTTTGAACATGTTACTGCATCTCAAGGTGTGGTCTCATCAGACGTTGTGTGGTGAAGAGCGTGTGATGTTTCCTAATTTTCTTCCGTACTTGTCACACTGGATCAGCTTTTCTGCTTGTCTGTGCGTTGATTTTGTGTTGTGCCTCCAGCTATGACGAGCACGTGCTGCTGTGGGACACCAGGAACATGAAGCAGCCCCTGGCAGACACCCATGTAGAAGGTGGAGTCTGGAGGTTGAAGTGGCACCCGACCTGTGACTTTGTGCTGTTGGCAGCCTGCATGCAGAGCGGATTCAAAATCCTTGACTGCCGCGGGAGCCTGGGTGAGTGTTCAGTGCAACAGGGATGCTCCTGTGCTGCTCAGCTGCTCCTGGCTGGGGAGGGACTTTTCATAGGGGCAGTTAGTGACAGAACAAGGGGAAATGGGTTTAAGCTGAAAGAGGGGAGGTTTAGATGAGATATTAGGAAGAAGTTCTTCACTATGAGGGTGGTGAGACAGTGTCCCAGGTTGGCCAGAGAAGCTGTGGCTGCTCCTCCCTGGAAGTGTTGAAGGCCAGGTTGGATGAGGCTTTGAGCAACCTGGTCTAGTGGAAGGTGTCCCTGCTGCTGGCAGGGGGGTTGGGACTGGATGAGCTTTAAGGTCCCTTCCAACCCAAACCAGTCTGGGATTCTATGATTCTCCTGTCCTACCTCCAGCTTAACAGGTGAACTCCAGCTCCGAGCTTGCTAGAAAGATCTAGATGTTGTTAAAACCATAGACTATTTTAAATTCCCACTTGAGGTAACTCCGCCAGCTTTCCCAGACCCGTCCTCCCTGCTGGCCTGACTGGTTGTGCAAAGGCTCTGGCATTATTCACACGTAAATCTCTTATAATTTCTTTTCCTGGATAAAAAGCCTGTTTGTCTTGGTGTGAAGTCATTCGTTACCTGTTGACGTGACCCATTCTGGTTTCTACTCATGGTTCAAAGAGGTTCTTCTGACTGTCAGGTGATGCTTTACTGTCAGCAGCAGTTACTGACCTGCTGGTGAATTGGTTATTGCCTCGGGAAGGAAGTTGCTGTGCAGTCTGGTTAATCAAGAATAACACGTATCAGCTCTCCATGGGAATCGGGAGGTATTGACATGATTAAAACCTGTTTGCATTCACAAGTACCATCTTGCATAAAATAGTTGCCTTCCCGGGTTTCTCCAGGCCTTGGGCAGATCCACAGCTTA